GCACCTTCACGCCGAGCAGCGCCTCTGTCGGTGCTCGCGGCCGGTAGCCGAACTCTCCAGCCGATGGGGTCCCTCTCCGGGCTGTCGGAGTCCGAGAGCGCCGGCCCGTCGCTCCGTCCCTCTCCCTGCTCCGCTCCCTGCCCCGCTCCCTGCCCCCCAGCGAGGTCCGGCTAGAGAAGTGTGTTTGAGACGAGCTTTTCGGGGATTCAGATGAGGTAGCAGTAATAATCCACTTAGCTTTTAGGGTGATGGCAGTAGTTTCTCTCTTGCTGTGAGGCAAATGTCTAAACACTCAAATCCGGCTTTGGAATAAGGTATGTATTTCTCTGGCCGAAGATTAATGTGCCTCAGTTATCTACGTAAACACTGATCACCATTTTGAAGTGGCCGAGACTAATCTGGAGTTACACTCTTTACTACGTGTTTGTTACACAGCGGGGCCTTCCTAAGGAGAGAGCCGGTCATCATGCAGGTAATCGCTGAGGCATATTGGTGGTTTGGGATGATTTTAGTATTAGCGAATAACAATACATAAACTCCTAATTTAGAAGCTCGGTGACTTTAGGAAGCTGACCATCGCGAGTCTATATACATAACTTTCAAGCTGGATAATATCTTCATGAGGAATGAAAGAGATAATAGATGAAAATACTCACCATGCAGGCATTTATCTCCCTTATCATCTGGCTCAGTCAGGAAGATATAGCTTGATTAAAGGAAAATACTTCCTACACTGTGTCATATTATGTTATCAGCCGTGTTCGTAGTCCGTTTCGGCTCATTTGTGTGAGACGGTGGTGGTACGCTATGCAGGAGCACGTGCCGTCTCCCTGAGTATGCGCTGGACCTGTGCCCAGGCCTGGTGTTGGGAGTGAGGGCCCATCCAGAGATGAGAACTCTCGGTTGTAACTTTAATAGGAGTCAGAATCCATGCCGTGTTCTGTGTCTAGGATTCAGCTCAGTTTGTATGTTTTGTTGTTTTTTTTTTAATCTACCCCCACTTGGACTATTTCTGCCAAAGATAAATACTTCTGTGTTTGGTACTAGACCTTACATTTCCTCCAGGGCTGGTGGTTCAGTATAGCATTCTGCATGTATACTGATAATGTTGGCTGAAGTTTTCCCTCCCTTATCTCACTTAACACACGCTAAAGTAGTGGTTTTCAATTTGGCTGCAAAGCCAGTAAAAAAAAAAAAATACATTTGCCTTGCATTCTAATTCATAATTTACACACACACACACAGAGTTTTCATGAAAAGGTTTTAACCCTTACTCTATACTGTGTATTCTGATTTTTTGTATCTTATTTTAATTTTTAGAAACTCGATTTCCTAATGCAGTAATGAGTCACACCCCACCGTTAAAAGGATTGATTTTGGTTTGTGTGTTTTATTTTGGGTGCTGTATAAGAGGAACAAAACTAAAGAAACATTGAAAACATTTAAGGAAAACTTGAAGATATGATGGCATATGTAGAGAAAACATGACAGCTTAGGTAGAATAGGAGAGGCATGTTTTGCTTCTGTGTGAAGAATTTTGTAGCAACCAGAGCTTTAAATTGGGATATACTACTTGAAACAGGTTAACCTCTTTGAATAAAGAAACTGATAAATCACTCGTTGAGAACATTTACACATTGGATAGAGAGATCATTAAATTTACTAAAAGATCTGTTCTAGTTCTGTTGTTTGGGTTGGTTGGTTTTATTAATATTCTGTGACCTCCCAGACTTTTTGTTTCACTAGAATTTTATTAAATCAAATCTAATTTTTTAAATGGGCCATTATAGGACTGTTTTAACCAGTTATTTGTTGTAAGGGCATTTTTAAAACTCTTATACAACTGCAGATCTAATGATACACTAAATTACGATGACACTGATCTTCCATGATACTATGTGTATATGGTAAGAATGAAGAGAACAGAGAACAAAAAAGTACAAGGTTAATGTTAAGTCAATACAGGTAACATGTGCAAGAATAAAAATCACTAGGTTTGTGATAATGGTCAGTGAATTTCTCATATTATTGTAACATTGGGCTGTTCTATGATTTGTCCTGACAGAAAGGGGTGAACACTCTGAAAACACACTTGTCTTCATAAATTGAGAAATTCATCAGGAAAGCCTTAAGTATGCAAGTGAAGCATCCTTTCAGTGGAAAATTTCTAAGTTTTTCCATGATTTGAACCACAGAATTCCTGAAAGAATTTTTACCTTCTAGTTGGTCCTGCTGCCTCAACTTTTATTAACTTTTCAAAGAATATTGGCTTGTAATTCTATCTAAAATGATTATCAACTAATTTTTATCTACTGGCTTAAATTTGATTATGAATATACCTTCCACAAAAATATAGATATAGACCCTGTGAATTGAATTCATGTGGGATATTGTGGCTAGCACATAAATTGCTATTGTAGACTATAAATCTTACATAGGTGACTCTGAGCTCTTAAATTGATAAACCAGTTGTCCCTTGTAATTATCTGAACTAAAATATAAGCAATAAAGTACTTATATCAGTTTTTATCATAAACAGTCCTAGATCAAATAGTGAGTTCAGGAGTTTAGTCTCTGTTTTTGGTGTTAGGAAAGTGCTTTTGCAATTCAGGGACGTACTTCTAGTTACTCATTATTTTTTCATTGATTGCCCACAGAATGCGAAGCACTGTGCCCTTAGTATTTAAAAGGCAGTGATTTCAAACTGCTAGTATTGGCCCATTCATGGTCATAAGTCAGTTTAGTGAGTCATGGAGCAGCATTTTTTTCCCTAACTAATAGAATAGAAGCCATCAGAGTATCTGGCATGTAGTAAGTGTAAATATCATTTTGTGAATTTTTGTTCTGTCCTGTGTATGTAGGTCCTTACTCATTATGTGAGTGTATGTCTTACTTTGGACCACTATTAAATGAGTCTGAAACTTTCATAAGAGATAAAAGATTAGTAAACACTTTAATAAGTTTACAAAATACTATAATGTTCGTGTAAAAATGTTTGTTTATATAAGACAATAAGAAAGACAGATTTAAGGTGTACTTAAGTGTTAGGAAATGACTTATGGACTGACTGTATGCAAGTTGACTTCTGCAAGATATTTAGAGTAAATTTTGATTAGTTGGATGCTTGTTAAAATGAAAGTTCTGCATCTCTTAGAGAATGATTCAGCAGATCTAGGATAGGGCTCAGAAATTTAAATTTTTAATAAACACCGCAGGTGAATCTGATATAGGAGTTTCTCTGGCCACCTTAGAGAGTCATTAGTCTGTCTTTGAGGAATACGGCATAGTGGTTAATATCACCTCTAGTCAGGTAGCCTGGGCTTGAATCCAAGTTCCTCCATTTATAAACCTTATTCTTGAAAAAAAAAATGTTTCTTTATGAATGTTTTTATTATGTCTCATAAGTTGACTTAAATTTTCATTGGTACAAAAGTATTTTTTTATTTTAATAATGTTTTTTGTGGGATAGAGGTAATTAGGTTTGTTTGTTTCTTTATAGAGGAAGTACTGGGGATTAAACCCATGCATGCTAAGCACACACTCTACCACTGAGCTATAACCTCCCCCCACAAAAACATTTTAAATAATTAGACTACTGCTTTAGGTCAAGAACATTTGAGAGTTGAGAGTAGGATAAAAATAGGTCTATCTTTGTTAAAGGAAACAAAAACCCTGTTGAATTAAAAGTTTGGTTTGTGTGGTATTTCCTGTTGATGTCTTCTTTTTCCTCCTTATCAGACTAGCACAGTCTTATTGTAGACATACAGAACAGTGTGTAGCCTTTGATTAACAGTTTCAAAATGCATTTCTTTTGCAGCTTCGAGATTGTATCCAAAAGACCTTGAATGAGTGGAGTTCCCAAATCAGCCCAGATTTGGTCAGGGTGAGTGAAATGTGAATAAAGAAGTCATGTAGGTCAGAAAGGAAGTGAAATAAGCAGGAAATTAATTTCCTCAGTTTTGATAGGAAAGTCACATAGGCAGTTAGCATAAAACTCAGTGGTTGACTTGCTGAGATAGGAGTCTGGCTCACTAGACTTAGCGTAAAAGAGAAAATCCAGACTTTCTAGTCGGCTAGACGAGATACAGGGATTCCCACCTCAGTTTCCTCACAGTGTGTTTTGTTCCAGTTTATATTTGGTCTAGTAGAGGAATGACTATCAAACAGTTTTGACTAGTAGATTGCTTTGATAGAATATAACCCAAAATACAGTCACTAGAAATAATTTTTTAAATGTCAGGTTCAGATGAAAAAGTAAGAAGCTGTGTTTTGTTAAATGTTCATGTGTGGTTATTATCATACATGTTAATATACAGAATACCTGTCTGTAAACCACTCTTTAGAACCCAGCTTAGCCAAAGGCTTGTAACAAATTACATAGACTACTTTAAAAGTATAAATGAGGACATGTGCTGAAAATAAGTGTTCCCCTGAGCATACTACAAGTTTGTAACTGTATCTGCTAGGCAGACGTTAATTAATGTCTTCTATCAGTCTCCGTTCCTCTGAAATGACCATTCACTCTGTGCATGACTTGGAAATGCTACTGAGCCCCTGGTACATGCCAGGCATTGTAATATACTCAAGAACCATGGAAAAGTCCTCACTATTTACTTTGTTTTAATCTTATAAATGTGAGTTAGTATCTTTCTGATCTATATGTACTAACTTTTTATAATTTCACTCATTAATTATTCATTATTATGTATTGGAATGACCTTTTTTTCTTTTCATTGCACTCAGAAAAAAAAAGTTTTGGCTTAAGACATTTGTTAATTGATACAGAAAGTTTTTAACATGTCAGCATCCAGAAGGAAAATACTATTTTTCATTGGTTTCTTTTCTGAATAAAATTACTTACTGTGCTAGTGGTTCTAACTCCTCACACACTGCCCAGTTGTTGATCATATATCCCTCTGAGTAGCAGATCAAAATAAGACACTTTTTCCCAGAAAACGAAGACACACACACACACACACACAGCATTTTACTTTTATTTCAGGGCTTTACAAACCTTCTGAAGCCCATACAGACCTCAGGTAAAGAACCTTGTTGTTTTATGGGTTCTCTGCTTCTAACAAGTGTTATGGACAATAGAAAATATATAGCTAATCAAAAACATTAATTTTATATTTATTGTAAGTATCATGTGTTTATTATAGGAGTTTCCAGATGTCTTGGAATGTACTGTGTCTCATGCAGTGGAAAAGATAAATCCCGATGAAAGAGAAGAAATGAAAGTTTCTGGTAAAGTCCAGCCTTAAATTCATTTTGTCATACAGGAGAAGTCAAAGTGAGGTTTTGTCACTTTTTTTGCTTTCTTTGCTTCTGGTACTGAGTACCTCAGTCACTAAGTGTGGCAAATAGCAAGATTTATAACATAATTTTAAAGTCAACCTTAAAAAAGGAGTTGCAGGAGGTCCCTGTTGGCTCCTTCAGTGAAGTCAGCATAGAGCTGCACCCTGCTGCTCTTCCCCGCGTTCTCAGTGACTGACGCGTGGGACGTCAGAGCAGCAGGGAGAGGGAGGTGGAGGAAACGGGAAGAAAAAAGGGAAGGCTTAAGAGCAGTGGCTCCCTGAAACAAGCGCGAGCCCTGCCGTCCTGGTGCGACACTGCTGAGCAGTGGCTGAGGTTGCCTGGGAGCACGAAGAGAAGGCCGGGCAGCGGGTTACATGAAGGGAGATAAAACAGACATTGTGCCCATTCAGCAGATGTATTGAGTGACTCCTTTCCAGAGGCAGCACTAGTCAGCTCAGGAAATGAAAAGATGTGCTGTTCTCGCCCTCAGCTCACAGTCAGCGTAGCATAGTCATTAAATGCTTGAGCTTAAGTAGACTGAATTCCCAGACGTGCAGATTACTGACTGATGAAGTTTTGGGCTAACGTATGATTTACCCTCTGTGGGTTCAGACTCTTCATCTATGAAATGGGGATACGTCTGTGCCACAGGCTTCTTTGTAAGTGACGTGAAGTAGCAAAAGAAACGCTTAGCACAGTGCTTGCACGGAGTCAGTGCCAGGCAGCTGCTGCTTATTACCGTCTGTGTTGTAGTGGTGGTTATTTTATATTGTTAGTGTTACCGGGATGGACATGTAAGGCGAGATAGGGCATTGTCATCTGACTTTAAAAATAGCTACTTCCATCTGTTGAATCTTGCTTTATACAAGGCACTGTACTTGACACTTTATGGTTATACTTCATAGAATTTTCAAAACAGTTCTGTAAGGTAGATCTATTTTCCCCATTGCACAAGTGACATTAAATAACTTGAAAGCTGTCATATGGCAAGTAAGTGGTTGCACCAGGAAGCCATCTAGGTATGCCTGACTACAAAACCCACTTTTTTCTGTTAATTTCACATTGCTATTTGTGTTGGGAAGGACGTCAAAGCAACATTTTCTCTGTGGTTGATTGCGGCTCCTCATGGCAGGGATCCATCTCGGAGCTCTTACGAGTTGTCCTTAGTTCCTAGAGGGCGTGAGATTTTTGATAAGCTCTCTACCTGTGAAGAGCTTTACTCTCTCCATCTACCTAAAAATGCCTCATCTTTCAGAGAGAGGAGACCATTTCAAATGGCACAAATTCATGGCCAGAGGAGCAGTAATGGGAGGGTCTTCATAGAGTGTAGTTACAGGAGCCAAGGGTGGACTGCAGTGGTGAAGACTGACTCTCAGCTGGTTAGGAAGCTATGATGGCTTGTAAGTAGAGCAGTAACATGAGGAAAGCCGTATTTGAGGACAATTACCCAGCAGTAGAAAGGAAATGACAGATAGTCAGTGTACAATGAAAATTTGTTGCATGTGTTGAATGCCAGGCACTTTACATAAGGGTGTTTCATGAACCCTGTTTTCCCTCTGTTCCCCTTTCTGATTTTCTCTCTTCTTGCTTTCCTCTTACTCCACTTATTTGTCTATTGAGATTTTTGAAATATGCATATAAAGTTTAGTTGAAATCAAGACAAAGTTTCAGTTTCTTAAATATGAAAAATGACTCAACTTTCCTAATAACCAAAGAAATGCCAGTTAATGTGGTCC